CTGGAAGAAACACTGGTTGGGGTATTGGTTGGGGTATTGGTTGGGGTATTGGTTGGGGTATTGGTTGGGGTATTGGTTGGGGTATTGGTTGGTGTATTGGTTGGGGTATTGGTTGTGGTATTGGTTGGGGTATTGGTTGGGGTATTGGTTGGGGTATTGGTTGGGGTATTGGTTGGGGTATTGGTTGTGGTATTGGTTGGTGTATTGGTTGGGGTATTGGTTGGGGTATTGGTTGGGGTATTGGTTGGGGTATTGGTTGTGGTATTGGTTGGTGTATTGGTTGGGGTATTGGGTGGTGTATTGGTTGGGGTATTGGTTGGGGTATTGGGTGGGGTATTTGTAGTGGTATTGGTTGGGGTATTGGTTGGGGTATTGGTTGGGGTATTGGTTGGTGTATTGGTTGGGGTATTGGGTGGGGTATTGGTTGGGGTATTGGGTGGGGTATTTGTAGTGGTATTGGTTGGGGTATTGGTTGGAGTATTGGTTGGGGTATTGGTTGGTGTATTGGTTGGGGTATTGGTTGGGGTATTGGGTGGGGTATTTGTAGTGGTATTGGTTGGGGTATTGGTTGGAGTATTTGTCTGATCTGATTACATAGTCTGCGACGGATTGAATTTATGTGACAGTGTATAAACCAGTCGCTAGCAGTCTGATAATTTGGCCAATTTATGTGACCTTGCCAATTTATGTGGTCTCGCCAGGTTGTATGACCTCATGGTTGCGAAACCTAAAATCACGGAGGCAGCTGAGGCTCGATATCTGGGGACATCAACCCAACAAACAACAGCTCTCAACCCAACAAACAACAGCTCTCAACCCAACAAACAACAGCTCTCAACCCAACAAACAACAGCTCTCAACCCAACAAACGACAGCTCTCAACCCAACAAACAACAACTCTCAACCCAACAAACAACAGCTCTCAACCCAGCAAACGACAGCTCTCAACCCAACAAACAACAGCTCTCAACCCAACAAACGACAGCTCTCAACCCAACAAACGACAGCTCTCAACCCAACAAACAACAGCTCTCAACCCAACAAACGACAGCTCTCAACCCAACAAACAACAGCTCTCAACCCAACAAACAACAGCTCTCAACCCAACAAACGACAGCTCTCAACCCAACAAACAACAGCTCTCAACCCAACAAACAACAGCTCTCAACCCAACAAACGACAGCTCTCAACCCAACAAACAACAGCTTTCTTTAGCGAGTTCTTGGATGAACAAAGGCTGTGTAGGCCGGTCCAGAAAGTAAAGCACGCTAACATATAAGTCAATATGGCATATGTTGATTGTAATGGATTTTTGTGTTTGAGTAAATCTCGTCCGGTATTATCTAAATCTATAATAGGCCACGTTCGCACTTCTCTCTCTCTCTCTCTCTCTCTCTCTCTCTCTCTCTCTCTCTCTCTCTCTCTCTCTCTCTCTCTCTCTCTCTCTCTGTCTGTCCGCAAAATATTTTCGCCGGACATCACATCAGAATCTACAGCGATGTATCGAGAACTTTTTACGGACTTGTGTTGAAAATAATATGTTAGATGTTTTAAATGTATAACCACAATTTTATTTAAAGAAGAAAAATAAAAAATAAAGGCGTATTCGAATATAGAGAAACAGTATTATTTATGCAACCGGAAAAGTGTATAAACTTGGGACAAGAACGCATTTAACAATGACGTCGCTTATTGTTTACACTAAAACACTAAAACAAGAGCACACAACTGATGACGTCATCTTCCGAGTTTAGAATTTTTAAAAATGAACTATTTCATTTAAATATGATTTAGAGCTATGTACGCTATGAAATGTAGACTACACACTACGATATTCTCGGCCTAAACTTAAAAAAATATTTTATCTATTTGGATTCTAGATCTAGAGATTCTAAATCTAGACTAGATCTAAATCTACGCAAAAACTACACTTAGACGCTACGTCGCTAAGATCTATTCTAGATCTTGATTTAGACTCTATCTACTGTAGAATCTATTCCAAAAATAAATTTCTATAATAAACTTTTTCAGGACTTAAATATTTTATAGAAATCTGTGTTTGTTTAGCAATGAAACTGGCTAATTTTGGGTAAAAAAATAATTTGAAAAAATAGGCATATTCGTCTAAGTTATTTTTTTAAACACTTCTTTTATTCTCCATATTTTAAAAGGTACCTAATTAGCTGAGGTGATAGTGTACTTGATACCAGACAGGTGGTGCTGGACACACCAAGTCAAACCGAATTTATTTTTTTTATATGTGAATCTTCCTATTTTAGACTATAAAGAAAGGAACTACTTTGGAAATCTTTGTTTATCTATGCAATTTGCTAATCTCTATAATATATGAAGCAAAGTTGTTGGGTGCCCGACATCGGGCACTTCCCGGCGCCGCAGGCGCTTCAAATTTGGCAGGATTTTGCCTTGGGGCGACAGAACACGGGGGCCGGTGCCGGTTGGCCTAAAGGTCTACGATGAGGGGGTCAAAACAGACCTCGACTGACCGGCGCCTTATATGAGCTATAAATCGAAAAAAAATTGTCCACGTAGGAACCTCTTCATAACTCCTGAGGTCGTAGACCGACCCTCGGGCAAATTAATTAAGCATTCAAATTCTCAATGTTTTTGAAAGCCTAAACGAAGCTGGGCAGCATGCCTAGTAATAAAAAACAAAGAAGAAGACAGGACAGTACGCTACTGCAGTTTTCATGCTTAAGCCTTAACCATATCGTAAGCTCATCTCCACTATTCAAATTCACATGTTACATAATAAACATATATATATATATATATATATATATATATATATATATATATATATATATATATATATATATATATATATACATATATATATATATATACATATATATATATATATATATATATATATATATATATATATATATATATATATATATATATATATATATATATATATATATATATACATATATATATATATATATATATATATACATATATATATATATATACATATATATATATATATATATATATATATATATATATATATATATATATATATATATATATATATATATATGTCTCAAAACTGGAGAAACCTGACTAAGAGAGCTAATTATAGTAATTACAAAATACTTCAGTTTGTTTTTTACCCTGTTGCACACGCAGTTTGTAAGCGATAAGCGAACAAAGCCTATTCAAATTAGACTCTTTACAACTGAATGAGCAGTGTGTTTATATAATTAGCTCACTTTGGTGAAATCTATTTCTCCTTTCGCCCTAGAACGTTACGCCTCAATAGCTGTAGATATTCAAGGGGCGGTCCATTTTTCTTACTGTCCATTTATCCTCGCGGTCCAAATCTATTTGCGGGCCACTTATTGCGGTCCACTTTTCCTTGCGGTCCACTTTTCCTAGCGGTACATCAGTCCTCAACTCGCGTTTTACTATATTAGTTAAAGTTATATTATGATGTTTGTTTTTAATTAAAAAACCACTTGTGTTTTGCGGTATAGTTTTCATTCTGCATCAAGTTCGGAGTAACTTACCACGATCCTAGGAATGAAATGAACCACTCATCACAAACCTTGAAGTAATTGGTTCGTGATTATTTTCTCCGCAGCAATTAGCTTCAAGCAGCTGCTCCCTTAGATAAGTCCTGAGTACCGGAAGCGCCATTGTTTACGCTGTGTCATGGCGGACGCAGGCCGATCAACCAATCAAATGGTTTTGTTTAGACACGTGGGACGTGATCTCCCGGCCATGTTTGAATTATCTCCCGAGATAATTTAATTGTTGTTTAATCATTTATTGGATGCGATTTATCTGTTGACCTTGGCATTTGTCGAATCAAAAATGGCTGACGATGGCCTTTTGGAGGAGCGGGTGGGTTGTTTTTTTTTAAACTCCTGGACAACGTATGTGCATAAAAGGATAAAAATAAAAGAAAATATAACGCAATATTTTATTCTGGGATAATTTGTTCTTGAGGTATTTTGAAAAGAATTAATAATGTGTAAATAAAAGATAACTTCTCTGTGATATATTGCCCAAGTGCCTTCAAATCCTTCAGAAAATAGTTTGTCCTATTACGCTTTATCCATACTTTGTTTTCCAACTACTTATTTTATTAATGATACGTTTTGACTAAAAGGTAATTTATTCACAATATATTCTTATCTTATTCTAAATGATAGTTTGTCAAATAGTTATTTTGTACATAAAAAAATTGTGTTCTTGAGACAGTTCTTCAACGCGATATTTTGCCAACGAATTATTTTGTCCATTCGATATTTCTTAAACGTGATGTTGTTTTTTATTAGTTACTTTGACTATGATATATTTTGTCCATGATACATTTTGTCAATCAGACATTTTGTCCATGAGATATTTTGTCAATCAGACATTTTCTCCATGAGATATTTCTTCGACCTGGTATCTTGTCAACGAGTTATTTCGTAGATATCTTTAGTCAGGTTAACTTTAAATCCACTTGATAATTAATTAATTAATTACACGCAGATATTAAACCAGTGCCGTATTTTATGATAGCCTGCAGCCACTACTATCGACCATCTGCTGACGTCAGCTTTTTAAGAACAGATTAAATGTCGTATTTGCTTCAAGTCAACTCGGCAGGGTCCAGTCAATATCTGACTTAAAAGTCAACATTTAATCAAGGACAGAGTAGACATTAAAAAAATCATAAAATGTTGTCTTTTTATTAGCCCAGTTTCAGGTTATTCCCCATGCCAAATCTGTGGAGATTTTTATCTGGCAAGTATGGGGTGTGTTTCGATTTGTTAAGTCTGGGACGGTTCCGTTTCAGTTCGTTTTATAGAGTGCCACATAACGTTGACGTTGGTTAGATTTAAAGGTTGCCTTCATTAGATGGTCGAAATGTCTGGATAGGTGGTTGTCTCTCTAGATTGCTGGGATGTCCGTCTTTGTTCTGCAGCTTTGATTCCGGACTCACCAATGTGGATGTTTCGTTTGGTGTGTTGTGTCATGTGTCATGGGACCTGAGACATGGAACCTGAGACATGGAACCTGAGACATGGGACCTGAGACATGGAACCTGAGACATGGAACCTGAGACATGGGACCTGAGACATGGAACCTGAGACATGGGACCTGAGACATGGGACCTGAGACATGGAACCTGAGACATGGGACCTGAGACATGGGACCTGAGACATGGGACCTGAGACATGGGACCTGAGACATGGGACCTGAGACATGGGACCTGAGACATGGGACCTGAGACATGGGACCTGAGACATGGGACCTGAGACATGGGACCTGAGACATGGGACCTGAGACATGGGACCTGAGACATGGGACCTGAGACATGGGACCTGAGACATGGGACCTGAGACATGGGACCTGAGACATGGGACCTGAGACATGGGACCTGAGACATGGGACCTGAGACATGGGACCTGAGACATGGGACCTGAGACATGGGACCTGAGACATGGAACCTGAGACATGGAACCTGAGACATGGGACCAGAGACATGGAACCTGAGACATGGGACCTGAGGTTAGCCTTATTTATAAATTAGCCATGCCTCTCCTTGTTCAGATATTTGATAAGAAGTAAAGAGTGTTACGGGGAATGTTACCAAATGTTTAATTTGTTCTTGTTGTTTGTTTGTATTTTACAGTATAAGGGGGGGGGGGGGGCTTAATGTTCCAGAAACAACACAAACCACGCGTGTACCACATAAGGCCAATATTATCAACAACTTACCACAACCACCACGCCAAGCACCATATAATCTATGTAACCCACATAATCACAGAAATCACAATCACCAAGTCATAACCACCAGCAGTGGAACCAGAACTTTGTGGACCACAAAACCTGAACCTTGTGGACCACAAGACTAGAGCTATATGGACCACACGACCAGAACAGTGTGGACCGCAAGACCACAAAACCACCGAGTGTCAAAACAAAATCCAAAAATCAGTTCACGGCAAAACAAATGAGTTCCATCCCCCTGTGTTTGTTGAAGCGACGGATACTTTTACAATAATGTGCGATGTTGAGGAAATGATGGGGACCTTCCAGTGCACGAATACCACACGCACAAAAATAAAACATTACGAGCTGATGATTTCTCACCCCCTTCACCCTACCCACCCCATTCCACCCACCCCCACCCCTTCCACTCCAAGAATATTCCATTCTGCTACAGATAGAATAAAGATGATGTATCGTATCTGTCGTACCTTCCTAGCAACTAGCTGATATTTCTTATCCCATTTTTTTTGGTCGACACTTGTAAGGCCCTAGAGATATTTTTTCTTATTCTATCATGTGTATGGATGGATGGATACATGTGTATGTGTGGATGGATATATGTGTATGTGTGGATGGATCTACATCCGATTTCTTTTATTTCAGCATCGAGAAGAAAATAGGGGGAGGGTTTTGTAAGGGGGAATGGAGAAAAGGAAAGAAAATAAAACAAGTGTTGAGTTAATATTTTAAAGATTTGTAATTTATTTTTTAGGATTTATTTTTAAATGCGTGGGTCGTTGTTTAATAACAGCTGTCTTGGTTTCTGCGCATGCGTGGCACGAGCGATATGTTGATGATTGGATGAACTCTCATCAAGTGCTGTAAAGTCAACTAGGAATTATTTTTCCTTTCCGCTAGAAGTCTAGTCAGTTGGGAGGGATAAAAAAAAAACCACCTACCAACGGTACGGCGTTTTCTGATTGAATCATGTCACTCGATAGGTCAGACAAGATATATTTGACCCCCGGGGTAAAGGTGGAAAGGTCAGTGGCTGAATTCATTTTTTTTTCTAGTGGTAGTTGATACTCCACACTTACCGGCTAAATTAGGAATACGTGCAGTTTTTGACTAGTGGTTGAAAAATCGGACGTTTAGTGGGCAAGGTGGGACGGTGTGGTCTAAGCGGTAGATCGCTAGGCTGCTAACGTGAAAGTCACGAGTTGGAATCCGGGTTCAAGTCAGTATACAGTCCCTGAGCCCACCCAGCTCTGATGAGTACCTAACTTAAGTTAGGGAAAGTAAAGGTCGCTTTGAAAAGCGCTGACAACAACTTCCTAATATATGCCGAGGTCCAGAAACATATGAACTCTATTTCATTTGCCCAGTGGATCGCTAGGTCTAAAGAGGATTCTTTACTTTTACATAGTGGTCGATGTATGCTTGAAACAGCTAGACCCAACAAAGAAGTAAGTAACGTAAGCGGTTATAATTACTGAATGGTGTTGAGAATCTTGACGCTAGTCACCCACAAATAATTCAATATACTGGCGGGCTAATCACCCACATTTGTTTTGAATTTGTTTGTTTAGACTAAGATCGCTCTAGGTGAACGAAATTTCTATGACAGAGTAGTCTAAATAAGTTGGTTTTCCTGATGTTGACGTATTAAAAAAACTTCGACGCCAAATTTAACCAAAGTGGCCGGATATTTTGGAAGGTCAAAAATAAAACTTTAATCGAAAATATAGCCCGGATATTTTAATCACCGATTCCCAAGCTAAATTTTTTTTATGACGATAAGAAATTAAGTGACATAAAATCTTATTTTGTCGGCAAACATCTTGAAGATTTATGACGATAAGTTCAGGCCCCAAATTTACCCACAGTGGTCTCAAATTTGGACGGTGTCGTAATATTCCCCGGTCACTTTTTTTTTGTACCGACCAGTGCGGTCAGAAATTGGATCACAAACGACAAGTATAGCTGGCGGGGTAATGAGAGACGGAGGGGAGTAATGGGGCTGGGGTGGTCAGGCTAGACAAGATGATGATAGAGGCATGTTACATGACCAGCGGTCAACAGGGCGAGATAACTCGCGGGGAGCTACTTTGACAAGGGCGATCACTCTCTTGTCCGGTGACTTTGTACGCGCGGGTATTCATGGAAGGTTAGTCGGGGAGGGAAATGTTGAGGAATATAAAGACTGGCTAGACTATGGGGTCGGGGGAAGGGGGGGGGGTGGATTATGTTGCAGACTTCAGCATCTTATGGTTACATAAGTTTATTATCTTAATACAAAGTAGGTCTGATCTATAAAGTAGATATCTTGTGAAAAGTAGATCTGATCTATAAAGTAGATATCTTGTGAAAAGTAGATCTGATCTATAAAGTAGATATCATGTGAAAAGTAGATCTGATCTATAAAGTAGATACCATGTGAAAAGGAGATCTCATCTATACAGTAGACTTGTCCTAAAAATAAGATCTGATGTAAACAGTAGATCCATCTGTTAGCAGGTCAGATCTGTTAAGTAGATGTGATATAAAATTACATCTGACCAGTAAGGTAGATCGATATGTAAAGTATATGTGATCTATAATGTACATCAGATCTGTACAATAGATTTATCTGTACAATAGATCTATCTGTAAAATAGGTACATCATTAAGTAAGAATCTGATCAATAAATTGAGAATAATGTTAACAATTAAGCCAACAAAAAGGAGAACAAACATTTTAACAAATAGGTAAACAGTTTAACCAAAAAACATATATCTACAACACAGTTAACACATAGGTTCAACAATCGAACCAAACAAATAGTTCTACAAATAGGCAATCAAACAACCCAGTTTTAAAAGAAGACAACAAACAGATAAAAAATCTGGCTAAAAATAATAAAAACAGACATGCATTAACAAAAGCAAGCGCCAAAACTGATTGCACCTGACAAGATTTTAGGGTCATTTCAAAAGTTGATAAATGATGACCGGCACGTTGACAGAGGAGCTGCCGTGTGGAGATTAAGAAGGGCTTTCTATCATATTTTAGTGGTATTCCTCGTGGTTTAGACATAGGGGTTATCATCTGGGGATTAAGGGGGGGGGGGGCTTTCTCTCATAGTTTGGTGGTGTCTCTTCACGGTGTTGACAAAAGAGTTGTCATCTGGGGATTAAGGGGGGCTTTCTCTCATAGTTTGGTGGTGTCTCTTCACGTTGACAAAAGGGTTGTCATCTGGGGATTAAGGAGGGCTTTCTCTCATATTTTGGTGGTATTCCTTGTGGTTTTGTCATAGGGGTTGTTATCTGGGGATTAAGGGGGGCTTTCTCTCATATTTTGGTCGTATTCCTCGTGGTTTCGTCATAGGGGTTGTCATCTGAGGATTAAGGAGGGCTTTCTCTCATATTTTTGGTGGTGTTTCTTCACGGTGTTGACAAAAGGGTTGTCATCTGGGGATTAAGGAGGGCTTTCTCTCATTTTTTGGCGGTTTTCCTCGTGGCTTTCATATAAGTGTTATCATCTGGGGATAAGGAGGGCTTTCACCCATATTTTGGTGGTGTTCCTCATGGTGTTGTGTAGCGCGCTACGACACCCTCCAATCAGAGGACAGCCTCGTTTTCCATGTTTCCTCGCGATGGTTTAATTAGTTAATGCATTAGCGATGTGAGTGCTTTGATGATTTCCTCCACACAAGTCAATGGGAAAAAATAGGGGAAACGCTTTGCCTTAATACCACGATTAATAGAAAAATCGCTAGAAAATTTGGATTTATAATGGCGATTAATTTGATGACGGCGTTTTCAGCTGTTTTTTTCTACACAATCAGACGGTGAGTCAAAAATGAAAAATTTCAAAGAAAATTTAACAAAATTGATTTTTTAAAACAGTAAAAAATATAACATACAGCTTTTCGTTCTCTTAATATATTATTAATTATCTGAAAATTTGAGTAATTGGTTTGAGATTTTTTTTTTAAATTTAAAGTACAATGTGACATTAATTCACGTTAATGGCATCGTTCGAAATCAGTGGTGGAATCAGAGAGTGACGTGTTGGGTCTTAGATATAACATCAGCCTCTCCCCCCCCCTCTTCCCCCCCCCCCCCCCAAACCTCCAGCCCCCATTTAATACTATGATTGAGATAAAATCGCTTTTTTAACTACCACCCCTTCCCCCCAAACCCCTACTTAACAAGACTCCATTGTCCTATAATGGAGATTTTGAATGTGTAAAAAAAAATGTACCCGGTGTTATAAAACCATCTGTGAGTATAAATCGTTGACTGTTTGTTTTTTAATGATATTTCAATATTTTTGGCATGTTTGTTGCTAATAGTTTTAATATCTAAATACAGTCACGCAATAGTTGTTTGTTTTTCCCTTGTCACAACATAGTTAAGTTAGGTTAGGTTTGCCTGTCGTCCCTACTGGGACATAGGCCACTGACAAGAGCTTTCCAGACGTCTCTGTCCTGGGCTAGTCTCTCCAACTGTCCCCAGGTGTATCCAATCTTCTTGGTGTCTTCTTCCAGGTCACGTCTCCAGGTCTTTCATGGTCTGCCTCTCCTCCTCCTGCCCTGTGGATTCCAGGTGAGGGCCTGTCTTGTTATGCTGGATACAGGCTTCCTGAGTGTGTGGCCAATCCATTTTCATTTTCTCTGTAGGATATCTACTTTAGCTGGCAGTTGATTTGTCAGCT